GGGGGGGGGGAAGAGCCCAAGAGGCTGAGCCTGGATTCCTCCTGCACCCCCACTTCCCAGCTTACCTGCTGGGTCTCCAGCCTCAGATCCCAGAGGACCAGGGCCCCTGGCCTGGCTAAGGAGCAGGAGCAGGGTCAGGGTGGGAGGGTGGGAAGCTGGGCCGTGGCCGGGCCCAAGAAACAGGCTCGGGGAGGCAGAGCTGGTGCCCGGGAGGTGGGGGCTGGGGAAGCTGTCACTGGGAACCAGTTCCTGGGGGGGTGCCACAGGCTCACCGTGAACAGACCCTTCTTCTCAGGTGTGGAGGGCTGTAGCCTGCGATCCTCGGTCTGCGGGTCCTGCACCTTCTCGATGCCAGCACCCAGCAGCTCATTCTTGAGCAGGGCGGAGTAGGCCAGGCCATCTGCGGGCACCAAGCACAGTGCGGTGAGGTGGGGCAGGGCAGGGAAGGGTGGGGGCCTGCAGGGCGGATGGGCTGGGACCCTAACCTTTGCCGTTGTCTGAGGTGGCGTCCTTGGCTTTCCGGTTCTGACTGGGAGACTTCTCATTCTCCTGCAGGGAGGAGAGCAGAGACGGAGGGGTTGAGGTGCCTGCTTGTTCCTGGCTCTAGAGCAAGGAGGCTAGGAGGGGCCCTGGGCCTCCCGGGGGGTCCCATCTCCTGCCCGGCCGGCCCCTCACATTGATCCTGTGGAAGTTCACGCTCCAGTTCGCTCCAGCTCTAGAGGGGATGAAGCGGTCTCCATGCTTGCTGGGCGAGGACACGGGGGAGCTGGCAGGCGTCAGGGTCCGCCGCATCTCCGTGACCTGAAGGGCATCAGTGGGGGCCTGTTCTCAGCACTGAGAGCCCCGGCCCCTGAGCAAAGGGGGCTTTGATCTTGCAAACCCGAGTGGAGCCACAGTCACTCTGGGTCAGGGATTTATGTGCCAGAAGCCTCCAGGAGGTGCCAGGCCCACGGGCAGGCTCGGCTTCCAAACACTGCCAGGCAGGAGGGTGGAGAGGGCAGGGCCATGGGACGGGATGGAACGACAGGAATGGGGGCCATGGCAGAGGGGACAGAGCCAGGCAGCAAAAGACCCTGACTGCCCTCCCAGCGCTGCGCGGATGCCACGCATTCACTGTTTCTAAAAGATGCAGGCCTTGACGGCACAAGACATAGAACAGCTGTGCCCAGAACCACCTGGGAGTGTGGTCCCCTCACCCCCATTTCCTGCCACCCACAATACCTGTCTAACCCTCCAACCCCATCTGACTGCCCCCGCGCCACCCACAACACCCGTCTAACCCTCCAACCCCATCTGACTG